GACGGCGGGCAGGGCGGGCAGGGGCGGCAGCAGGGCTGGCAGCTGGACGGCTGGCAGCAGCAGGAGGAAGCCCCGCAGCACACGGGCTCACAGCACACGGGTCTGCAGCACACGGGCCTGCAGCACACGGGCTCACAGCACACAGGTGTGCAGCACAAGGGTCTGCAGCACATGGGTGTGCAGCACACGGGCTCACAGCACACCGGCTTACAGCAGACGGGCTTACAGCAGACGGGCATGCAGCAGGACGGCTGGCAGGCTGAGCAGGGGCAGCAGCAGGGCTGGCAGCTAGAAGGCCGGCAGCAGGAGGGTGTGCAGCAGCTGGCACAGACGGACTGGCAGCAGGGGCTGGACGCACAGCCCGCTGGGGAGCAGAGGAAGGTGAGGCAGGGGGCGGGGGCGCAGCCGCGGGGCTGGCAGCAGCTGGGGGCGCCGCAGGGCTCGCAGCAGCTCTCTGGGCAGTCGTCCACCTGCCAGGAGGGGTCGGAGTAGGAATCGCAGGAGCCGGGCAGGCAGACCCGGCTGTCATAGCTCAGGTCACTGGAGCAGACGGACATGGTGGAGGCGGCCATGGCAGGCTGAGTCTGGAGGAGTGAGGGTGTGTGTGAGCGAGGAGTGTGTGTGAGTGTGTGGGCCTGGGCATGTGTGGGCCTTTATACCCCAGCGTGTTGTCCCCGCCGAGGTTTACGAGCCTCCCTTCCTGGTGGTGCTGCGTCTGGCCGCGGCCGGTCGTTAGTGCCGGTTCTTTGCACGCCTGCCCCAGGACGCCTCCTGTGCCTCCCTTTAGCTCCGGTGCTGTCTGCTTCCGGGGGCTTAGACGTGGACCCCTCTCCTACAGGGGGGGGATCCAGCCTGACACCACTCCCCAGTTCTTTATTGCCTTGGGCACTTTAAAGCAATAAGCATGAAGAAAAGTGTGCATGTCTCAGGAATACAGCAGGCCGGAGAACATGGGCGGGCTCCCCGGGAGAGGGGCCTCCTCTCCTGCGGTGGGTCCCCCCATTTCTGTCTCCCTCTGCTCTGGGGCCGAGGAGGACTCTGGCTTTCGGAGTCTTCATACTCCTCTCAGGAAGTCTCGTGCTATTTCAGGATAAGCTAATGGCGGGTGGGGGAGGGAACCTAGGGACACATGAGGGAAGGGTAGGGAGGTCGCCAGCCGCTGGCTCATCGCCCGACCTGTGTGACCTTACCCTCCTCCATCACCTTGACAGTAAAAATCCAGGCTGGGGAGACTCCAGCTCTTCTGGGCCTCCCTTTCCTGTCTGTTCATTTTCCCTCAGTTCTTCAGGCTTACCTTTGACCTTTCCTCCAGGAGATTTTCCTGATTTTTTGTTGTTGTTCATCGTGGGGCTTGAACTCTAGGCCTGGGCGCTGTCCCTCAGCTC